AGGTAAATACTAATAAAAATTAGTAACTGTTAATACAGTAATAATAGCAACTAATTATTTAATAAATAATAATAGTAAATTATATTTACTTGTAAAATTGTCCAGACGTGGGCGGAGCCCATCAACTTTTGATAGACTGACATGGTCAGATAATATGGAAATACTGACCGAGGTATCACGTTGGTCATTGTTACGTTGCTTTGCCAGATCTACCACAGCTTTATGTGTACAACAGCAAAGACGAAAGTTTGTCCCAAACTGTGTAACTCTGACCTGACAGCCTGGTCATGTTGGAGCATGGTTTAATCCCATGCGGTCTCTGATGATCCACCTGAGCTCCATAGGCAAGGTCAGATCATAGGATGGGTGTTTTCATAAAAGCTAGTGCCTGCAGCCACACGGATTGAGGAGAGGTAGCAATTTAGCAGAGTGACAAAAAGGCTTAAGAAACATTTTGTATCACGGGCCATCTTTTTAAGAATATTTGACAGTTCCAAGCCAGTAGCTAAAGGAAAGCTTTAATTATTTCCAAGAGGATTAGATGAGAAAGATTTGGGGAGCTTATTTATTTTGTTTTGTTTTGATGTTTTAATAGAAATTTTAATTGTTTTTTAATCTCTCTCTTGAGCAATTTTAATCTGTCATTGACTGTAAAGAGTTTGGGATATTCTGCTAGAATTGTAGGAAATTAAATGTATTGTTGATCATTATTATTTTATCCCCTCTCTTCCCTTTGGCTAATAGGAATTTTGTGTGGGGGTGTACATATACATGTGTATATATATGTAACAGCCTATTTTGCTTAAATACGTATTTGTACACAGAATCAACTAAAAACAAGGCTGAATGACCTAGCATTTGCCCTTCTTGTAGACAATATAGAGGATATAATTAAGGCCCATATACATCAAATGTAGTTTATTTATTTGAGAGAAGTTGCACATTTATTTTAGGATTTTGTGGGAATGGATCTTAGAACATCTCTTTTTCTGAAGTGCAGACACAAAGTGGCAGCTAAATCAGTTCTGTGAAAATAACATGAGATTTTGTTAAACCCAGGCACTATTATGGTGGTGATGGAAGACTCTCCATACATATTTCTTTCATTCATGATGACATTATTAATCCAAATCTGTAGTATAAAACCTTGATCATTCAAGATTATTTCAGCAATTGGATAAATATCCCTATGCAATACCCAGTGAAATGAACAGGACAGTTAGTTTTTTCCAGGGATAATCAGAACCCTGATAATATACGTTGATTACCAGATTTTTTCTGAAAAATTATTAAAATCCTGAAGCTAAACATATTCCCATCACAATTGCATTGAAGATTTTGTGGGCAGTGACCTTACTGTTTTTGGCTGTAGAGCCTAGAGAAAGGAACATAGTGGTAGAAGAAGTAAGAAAGAGAACTAGCTTAATGAATTTAGAGAAAACATGTAGGTGATACTCTTCCTCTTTTTCTTTTTTGCAATACCAGAACCGCTGACAGCAAAGAACTTTTTCATGGGATCAAAGTAAGTGCTGAAAGTGTAGTTGTGGTAGAAATACAGTTCTTTCAGTAATGATTCTTTTAGAGGATTGCCATTGTATTTTTACCTGTTTTAATGGTCAAATTTGTAGCAACGTCTATCCCTTTAGAGCATATGTTGCCATGATGTACTTACACCAACACACTCACACACTTATATATGTTATACACGTATAAAATACATATGTACACACACTCATTCTAAATGTACAAGTTGCCTTGGCTGATTTTTGCTATTTTTACAGATGTATGCTGAAGACATAGAAAATTGTTCTTTTTTACTAGTCAATTAGATGACAGCTGTCTAGCCAGATAAAAACAATAGCAAGGAATTCTCAGAGTAGGTACATACATTCATTGGAACGCCATCCTTAAGAGTAGGAAAAATATGAAAAAATGTCAACTGAAAATATCCTGGAAGGTGTAAATCTGTTCTATTATACAGAGAGACAAAATCATTCTGTTCTGTATGCCATCCTGTAAATGCCATTAAAAATCTTTTGGTTTCCCTCCCCCAAAAAAACAGTTTTCATGCAACAATCCAACTACTTGAGTTTAAATTTAGTTTTTTTCCTCCTCAGCGTGCATTAGCTGCAGGCATGACCATTGAAATGTGCAGAGGAAGGAAAAGATCAGTAAGAAAATAAACCCCCGCATCATTCTTACATGTTTATGACATATGATCTTGTATGCGCATGTATGTACGTCTGTGTAGGTATTATGTCCATCTGTACATCTATTCTCCTCCTGGATCCCACAGGGCTGTTACTCCCCTCACCCACCACCCCTTAGTTGCCGTTTGAAATATACCAATATTCAATAATATTACAAAATTAAGCATACGAAAAGATAAATCGAGCATTTTACCCAGGTGCATCCTTTCATTTGATTAAGGTATCTGCACATTCATGTTTGCTTTACGATACAATTTCTTTAAAATGTCTCCTTCACAGTGTTTCCTTTGTGGGTTGGTTTTAAAATTGTCATTCTAGATTGAACAGCACCAAAAAGCAGAGGAGGCGGAGGAGGAGAGAAGAAAAGAGCGAATATGGAGAGGAAAATCGAGTTTGACCTGCAAGCAAAGACGGAACCAAACTCCCGAAAAGCCGCCCGGCCGCGCTTCCCCGCTGCCCCTCCGCGGCCAGCCGCGTTCCTCAGGAGAGGTCCCCGGCAGTTCGCAGGGCACAAGAGGTGGAAACGTGCCCGGCCTTGCTGAGAGCTAACGATGCCAGCCCCCGAGCAGCCCTGGGATGGAGTATTGCGAATGCAGTTTCACAGCTCCGTGCTTGCTGAAGTAACCTGAAGCGTTTCACTTTAGAGAAGCCCCTTAGGAATCCGGGAGCGACGAGGCAGAAGTTTGTAAAACCTAGGCTCTGCCTCTGATTTGTGCCGCCAGTCTGGGACGGCTTTTAGAAAGCGAAGAGGCGGCAGCTTCCCCTCACCAGAGTCCCCCCCGTTTGCATTCCCTCTTCCCTTGGAAAGCTGCTCGAAGACGGGCTGCAGGAGGGGGGGGGCGGGGGGAGGTGGCGGCGTGCTGCCAGCGCGCAACGACACTCGGCTCCTGCGGTTCACATGCCCCTTTCTGAGCCGAGTAAACCTGCCCTTCGGCTCGCTCCGGGCTCGCTCCGGGCTGCCTGCGCTCTATGGCTAAGCCGCCTTTGCCCTAAGCTCGGGCTGCATCTCCCTCCTCCTCCCTGTGATTATTTGCACAGGACATGTCTAGTACCTCCGGAGCACTTTTAGTTTGCTCCCCCCCGCGCTCGGTGGGATTAATCTATCATTTCGGAGGTTATTTTCGGCAACCAGCCTCGCACCCGGGAAGACCGGCCGGAGGAAGAGCGAGGCGCTTCTGAAAGCGGCAGAGGAGGAATGCCAAAGCAGGGCAGCGGAGCCGGGTGGGAGTGAGCCGGCGGAGCACAGCGAGGTGCCACCCCGCAGAGGAGGAGAGCTGCCCTGCTACCTGCTCCCTATTTCTGGCTGCCCGCATGGCCTCCGGGCACTGTAGAGACTGTGGGGGCTGCTGCTGCTGAGCAACGATACGTTGCTTTAAACTCAGCCTCAACTTACCACAGCAAGCAAGGATGGCAACACTACCGGAGCTTTGGAGCAGCCAAGAGAGCCAGGGAACCTGGGTTTTGTTTGCCACTGTCTAATAAATGGGAGTAAAATGGAATTTCTTACCTGGGTTTTTCCTGCCTTGGTTCTACTGTGCACCCAACAGCACAGGTGTATCAGGTAAGAAAACGCCTTATCCTTTCTTAGACTGGCCTTAGACAGCCGTTCTTGTGGTGTGGCTGGGGTGAAAAATGCCAGGTCTGGCTGTAGCTCCCACTCCACTTTTGCCCAGGGGTGCTCTCCACTTAAGGGCTACAACTGCTTTGAGTGAGTGTTCAGTAGCAAAAGGGATCTTGACTGAAGAGTTTCCTCAATGAGCTCCATCTTTTTTTTTTTTTTTCTTCTCCTCCTGTTTCTAGCAGAGGATGCACTTCTGCCAACTGAGCAGCAGCTTCTTGGGTTTATCAAGGGGTGTGTTTTTAACAGGATGCCTGTGGAAGCCTTTTCCCGAGGGCACCTACTCTAAATTGGGGGCAATCACTTTATGTAATGGCACTGCACATCCCAGTGCAGCCTCATCCCCTTAAACAGCTCTGTAGGGGGCCTGCTTGAACATGAAACTCTTCCATAAAACCCAGCACAACCAGTGGGGTACTAACCGAACATCTTTGCTTAGGGCCTCCATAGGCACAATTAAAAACCCCGAAATACAGACATTCCTTTCTAACGGGTTCATTAAGTCTCCTGAACTTGAGATAAGAGGAAGAGACTGGCAGAGATCTTAGAAAAAATGTTTGAAGAACGCCAACCATTTCTTAAAATCATAAATTGTAAAGATACATGTTTGCAATTCTCAGTCACATTTATTCAGAAGGTGTTAGCTAGGCAATCAGCTACCTTCTCTATATATTCTCTACAGATCTGGAGGCTGTATGTGGAGAAAGCTTGCCATGATTATGCAATGAAAACAGAAGGGGGAGTAAAAAAGAACTTGCTGCATGTAAAAACATGCCTACATCATTCAGAGCAGAGACGGCTGTGGTATTAAAGGGGTCTTCCTATTTCTACTTTATAGACATTATTAATAGCTTCAGAGGAGTATAAGAAGCAAAGTGATAATTGTAGTAAGACATAACATTGCTGCTACAGTTTTTGGAATTAATTAGTGAGATCTGATTTTTTCACTGGGAAGGAAAAAGATCTTGCATTAGAGGAAGTGTCAAGTCAACTGCTCTTATTCAGGACTGAAATAATGATTTATCCTATGACCTTGAATCTGTTACCCAGGGTCAGATCCTGACATGCTCATGCTCTGAAGCAATCCAGTATTCCAGTGAAGGCAGAGAAAATACTGCTTATGACCTAAGGGCATCAAGATCTTGCCCATAATTTCAATGATCCTGTTTCTCTCCCTGCACTTGGGCTAGCATTATTTTGGTTGAAAAGTGGTGTTTGAGTACATAAGAAGAAAAAAAAGAATTTTAATAAAAAGTCAGCCTTCTCAGCCTCTGTCTTCAAGGTCTGTTTCTAGGCACAGCAACTGCCAGGATATGTGCAACCTCAATTTGTTGGATAAATTATTTTATATTTGGATTAATTACCTAGTTACTTGACTTTCTTCCTCCAGTTACACAACAGTGATGAGTTGTTTGTTAGAAATATATATACTCGTGGCAGAGAGGAAGGCAAGGCAAATTCTAGCTTGTGAAATTCCAACTGTTCAGTTTGTAGTAGTTTTCCAAATATGCCAAAGTGTAAGACATTCAATGGTCAAAGAAAACTGCTTTGTTTAGTACAACAGTTTTCTGAAGAGTCAGGATTTAGCATGGCTATGGCAGAACATTGTTTGATCTTGCAAAAACTGAGTAACCTTGCTTACATGGGTACTTTTGATGAGTTAAACAGAACTAAACCAAAATTTTATTCTTGCATCAGTAAAATTACTCACACATAAACGACCTGTGAAATAATTCCCCTTGTAAGGGCCCAAGAAGCATATTAACTTCCTTATTCTTCTTCCTTGGAGTTCTGTAATATGATATTACATATAATTATTTTTGGTAAAAGATGCTTTTATGAAGAGCAGTATTTTATTAATACTGTGGGTTTGTAATAATGGGCAAAACTGCCAATAGCTACATTTTGTTGCTCCGATATTGTTCTCTAAATGTAATGTGATTCATGGTTATGATGACAGAGGCCATCCAAAACCACTAAGTTCTCTGCTTGTGAGTTCTATGGACTGTATATTGACAGGTGTAAGCAAAAACATATTCAAAAAAGGAAGAATATTTCAGCGAGTTCTGAACTCAGTGATACGACATAAGACTTCCCAAAGGCAAAACGACCTATTAAAGTAACGTTAAGGTTTGGCAGAGGAGGGAAGTGGGGAAAACGTGTAGCCTGCTTCCTCACAGCATTTTTGAATATCCTTTCAGGGTGCTTTAGAGGGCTGTATTTGAAGCAATTTCTCTGTCATGTGTGCTATTTGACTGAAGTGAATGAGCCAAATTCAACCTAAGTCAGCACATCCTACTTATGGCAGTGCTGTTTTCAGGTAAACATTTTTAAAAAGTAGTATTTTGTGGTCTGCTTGAGACAGTGGTTAGTGGCAAGAAATTTGGCATTTATATGATTGACAGCTCTTTGGGGCAAAGACTGTAGCTTCCACTATTTTATCAGAGTTTGATATGCTGTGGATGCTGCAATAATAAATGTGTCATAGTGAATGAGATCATCTACTGAAACACACTTAGTGAAATATTTCTTCATTTGCGTGGGGAAAGAGTACTATTGATAGGAGTTTTGGGATGTATGTCCGTACTTTTACTGAAAGATATTTTAATTCTCTAATTAAAAATAGGTGTATCTTTTATATTTAAGATTCTACTATGTTACACGACTTTTATACATTTGCATAGAATTGTCTTTCTGTTGTGTGTCTCCCTCAGCCTTTTACTTCTATTCATGGAAACAGAGCAGCTTTAACATGTGAATATATGCAAAGTGTGGTCCATTTTCTGTAGCTTAAAACTCACAGAGAGGAAATAAGGGCTTTGATGATCAAAAGGTTGCCATGAATTAAGCCTAATGCTTTTTCTATTACATTTCAAAATACAAAATGTATTTACAGTGAGCTCTCAGAGTCAGGAATGGCAGATGGGAAGGATACACATACTGCTCTGGATAATCCGGGAGTTTGACAGAGGCCACATTGTTCACTGACCTTGCACGATATTCCTTGTCTTTTTTCCAAGAAAAAGTTTTCTTGAGTGGCAATGACATCTGGGACATTTGCCCCCAAAAGCTTATCTCAAAGGAAATGAAATGTACTCCATCCCAGTCCTCACTATCAGCCAAACTGGTATTTCCATCTACCAGGTTAAAAGATTCCTATAACAACTATGTCACAGTCCCAAAAAGAATCAGGTTAGCAGATTTAAAGAAGAAACAGGAGATGCAAAAAGTGGTTTTCCATATCTTACTGCTATACATGTTTGTCAAAAGGTTAGCGCATTCTCCCTACAAGTGTGACCTAAAAGCAGTATCTCATTGGCCACTGACTTAAAGATGCTGCTGAGCTTTTTGCACTGCTGTGCAAAAATAATATTGCTAATGTTATCTCTTGTTCAGCTGCTGTAGTGCACTCATTCACATAGAACATATAGATTGCCTCTTTCCTTGGTGTAATTTAAATGCTTACCAGATTTTTTCAAGTAATATTGATACATTTCTAGCAACCATTTTCAAGCAGTGTTCTGGAAGATAGTGAAGACAGGCTAATACCTCACTTGCCTGACAAGCCCTTTAAAGATATGCTGACCAAGTTGATTGATGCTTCTCCTCCAGATCACTCCACGTTAGTAGAATGCAATGGTCCTGTAGCAGCTGGGAGAAAGATGTCAGCTCGGATAGAAAGGATTTGGGGATATATGTACTTTTTATTCTAGAACTGATAGTACTTAGCTCTGAAAGAGATGCATTTCTTTGTCATTTGAGATTCATTGCTTGGAGTTGCTTTCCCTAACCTGTGTCAAGGCCAGTTTTGTTAGGCAAAGAAGAACTTCATAGTTTTGCCAGGTTTATCAATGGTGATTTCCTCTCCCCTTTATCTAGCGTGCAAGAGAACTAACTGTTCTTTTCATAGTTTAAACAGCAGTAATCTGTTTTCTACTGCTAACAACGAGCTCTGTTGAAGTTCTCACAATGCTTAAACTCCAGATATGGTCAGATGCAAATATATTCTCCAGAATATCTGCTTGAAATGAGATGTGTACGGAGTCAGAGTGTGGATGAAACCCCATCTTTTTCAGCTTTAGATTTGGGAATGACTTCCAGAGTGATATTAGTACACATGACTATGTTGCCATTCAGTCAGCTAGGCACTCCACTCTGGCCTGGTGCAAAGTAAAGATAAGATTTTTGATGAGCTGTTATGCCCCTTGAATTTTACAAATCAATAGCTTAATTTTACAAAGTCCTTTTCTTACTGAAACAAGCTTTACAGCAGCTTACGTCAGGAAGTGAAGTTGCTGAATCAACTAATAGTAGTTTCCTTTCTTTTCATCTTTAATGCTTACACTATGAAAAGTTAATCCCTTCCAATGCGTCTTTTCTATGCTGGTCTTCCTTTTTCAGGTACAATAAATGAATAATATTTTAGGCCATATATAATCCCAACTGCTTATCAAGGATGAATGAAATTCTCCCACCATCCTTCATGTAACTTTAAAGCACTGGATCTGATGTACAGGAGTCTAGAGGAATGGCTCAAAGAAGATATCACAAACTGGCCTGTAAAGTGCCATGAAAATAAAGCTCTGCTTTCCAAAGTCATCATTTTTGACTGAGGACTGCTATACTATCTGCTAATATTCACACTTTTGTCTTCACCAGATAAAAAAGAAATGAAAATATTATAGATAGAATAATATTCTTGAGTTTGTTATTTCTCCTCTCCCTCAATATTCTTGACAGACAAAAAAGAGGGGAATAGGAGATTTCTACTGTGCTGGAGGACCTGGGACGACTTTAGACCTAAAGAGCACATATCGGACTGATACAAGCAGAACTTGGACTCATTTACACCATGCTGAATCATACACCCAAGCATACAGCCCCTGCTACATTAGTTCTTATGTCTGTATTATTTCCCTTGCTCCATCAGCTGCCATGTCAGTCTGACAAAATGTAATTTGAAGAATATGGCTGTTTAAAGTGATCACTGGGTAGTTTAAAGGTAAAATATAGGTTCACAGAATGGTTAAGGTTGGAAAGGACCTCTGGAGGTCATCTGGTCCAACCCCAAGCTCAAGCAGGGCCACCCAGAGCTGCTTGCCCCGGACCATGTTCAGATGACATTTAAATATCGCCAAGCAGGAGACCACAACCTCTCTCAGCAACCTGTCCCAGTGCTCAGTCACCCTCACAGTGAAAAGGTGTTTCCTGATGTTCAAGCAGAACCTCCTGTGTTTCAGTTTGTGCCCATTGCCTCTGGTCCCGTCACTGGGCACCACTGAAAAGAGCCTGGCTCTGCCTTCTTTATACCCTCCCTTCATGTATTTATACACATTGCTAAGATCCCCCCTGAGCCTTCTCTTCTCCAGGCTAAACAGTCTCAGCTTTTCCTCATATGAGACATGCTCTAGTCCCTTAATCATCTGCATGAAAAAAGTCTAATATTAGCAAAAGCTTTTGGTAAGTCAGCGATAACTGTTTGTAAATGAAACTGTAGGTTATTCTGATTCACGTATCCTCTGTGAGTATCTAGGAGCCATTCTGTGAGCACCATGCTAGTGTATGAGAATGGCAGTAACTGAGTAATTTTGTTACCCATTTCAAAGAAATTTAAAAATGAACCAGTAGTATAAACATCAACAAAGTAAATCTAGCCATAAAATTATTTCAGCTGTAATACTTTAATAACCCCCACTGGTATTAAGTGCATATAGCTCCACTAACTTCAACACATTTGTTACACTGATGATCTGACCCTAAGGCTTTATTAATAATAGAAACAAGATTGATTTTAATTGTGTCATGGATATTTAAGTAAAACTCCCTCTAGATTGTAATCTGCTTAAAACGCATGGCAAGCTACAGCCCACAGTTTTTAGCCCAACTCTTGTCATTTTAACTTCCTTTTAGCTCTATGGCTCTCCTTAATGCCATTAAAATAGAATACTGACACAGGATAACTGCTGCATAAATGCTCTTCCAAAGAAGATGGGGCTCCTGGCAGTTCTTATAGTGACATTACTTCTTTTATAGCAAGTGACTAATTATAAGTCAGTTATCTGGGGATGAGTACTTGATGCATGCAAGTAGCAATACCTATTGTGAAAGGGGAGCAGCAGAATTTGGTTTTATTGTTTTTCTCAGGTTGAGTACTCATAAATGTACATGGTATTCTAGTTTTACAACGACTTGTACTTAGTACTTTCATACTATTGTGTATGTAGGAAGCATAAGCTAGATTCTCCCATCCTCACAGATCGGGCATGCAAGATACGTCATGACGGTGCAGTCACCTTTTGACTTGATTATTGTTTTCAAAACACTTTACAGAACTTGGCTGCAGTTTTAGCAACAGGAGTTGAAAAGCACCATCTTCTACTGAAAAGGCAAAGAGACTTTAGGCAGATATATTAATTCAAGCGTATTCTAGTTATTTACTCTAATTACGAAAAGACTTAAAGTATCATTCTTTACCTATAAAAGGAGCTCAGATATTTTACTTATTAGGAATACCACTACATATCTATGGCTGAGACTTACAAGTTACAAATAAGTACAGTTTAAAAAAAAATACTTTCAACATAGTCTCATATTCTTTAATCTCCCAAGGCCTTAATTAAAAAAATTATTTGTTTTCTGTATTAACTGATAGCCTTAGTATTTCCAGAAATAGGGTAGTGAATGTAAAAGAAAATAAATGAAAGAGTTTCTGAACTGCAGTGTTTGATGGTATTGCAGAAGAAAGCCAGACCTTAGCATCTGGATCTTGCCAAATATTACAAAACTATAATTTCATTTAAGTAAATACTGACAGTTGGATGATTTGAAAGACCAGCACATAAGAAACAGCAGTCTGATAGAAAGAAGTGTTTTTATAGTTGATGAGACCCAATAAAGAAGGGAAAAACTCTGTCAACATCTGTTATAAATCTTCAAAGCCCTTGTCTAAACCAATTATGTTACTCCAATTTATGTAGCTGAAAATATGGCTCTGAGTCTTGCAAGATCCTTACTTAGAAGAGATATAGGAACCTGAGAAATATCTGAGATAGTCATTTGAGATGAACATACAGCAGTGTGCTCATGGCAAGGAAACATTATAAATGCAATTTACTATATATCCCCAATTTTAACATTCTGCCGTGAACTAATGACGTTTCACTTTGGAGCAGCGTCCCTATGCTTTAAGGTCACTTAAGCTTTGACAGCTCCGTTAATGCAAGTTTTCAGTGTCTCTGCTGCTCAGAACTTACATTTATACATTGTAATCCCAGAGCTCCTTCCTTATATAATCGACTCCATACATGTGGGGCAAGAATTTTATGACATGGGCAATCAAAGATTTTTCCTTCAGTCCCCTGTGAGAAGAAGAGTTGGTTATTGTAAGATACTCTGCTACTGCGCTAGCAGTAACCTCATGTGCTGAGCTGAATGCCCAGACTGGCATATTTTGGAGAGAAAAAAACATGTGCTTTATGTGGGTCAATGTCGCATGAACACTAAGAAAGTTATGTAAGTACCAAGGCAGAATATGTTTATGGTATATTACTCTACAGCCTTTCATTGCTGTTTAATGAGTTCCTCTTCTGTTACTAGTGATGTATATCTCTCAAATGCCGTATTTATTGCTGGACTCAGTGGAAGATGCTAAGCCAGTGCTCAGACAGTTTTGATATAGTACTTGCATTCAGATACAGGCCCTCTCAAACCACTGGCAAATTTTCTCTTTGCAAATAGTTGTGGTAGACGTTGTCACAGTCCTTCATTTATCTATTCCCGTCATGTCAATCACAGTGCTGGCAAGAGGAATTGTGTGAGGAGGCACAGATCTGCTTCAAATGAAGTCTGCCAGCTCAGTTTAAACAGTTAATGAAGACAATATAAGCTTGCCTTTGTTTATAGGAGATTATGGAATATCCACCTAACTGCTTGTACGAGGAGGGTTGAGGGGCTGGCATCTGCCAGGTGGTGGAAAATGGCAACAAGAAACGGTGCTAATATCTTCAAGGAGCATCACTGGATCAGAAAGAAGCATATGCCTAGCACCTGAGAGATGGAGCCTTATTTCTGGGAGGGGGACTGTGGCATGCTGCACAAATCTGACAGCAACATACTACCTCCCAAACAAAACCTACTGCCTGTTTGGTGGCTCACTCAGGTCCCAAGAGTGATTACAAAAGGATGCGTGCATTATGGCATCCCACACTCCTGACCTGAGGACAGATGGCCAAACACCCACGCTGCCTGATGCTGGCAAGTGCAAAACAGCACAAGCAGGTGAGCTGGAGCCCTCCCGGCATGGTGGAACCATCGCTATATGCCCAAAACTCTGGGGCACCTGTGGGACAGAGACATTTCAGTGCTACGGATACCTCACTTACTGCTCAAGACCACGGACAGGAATGGCCCCAAATCCAGAACCATAGTCAGGGCTCTTGCCCCTGCATTTCTAGGATCATGGAGCACACCTCAGGTTCCAGGACAATGGTCAAATCCTTCAGGCTCACCACTACGGGCAGCTCTTCGCACTGCAGAACCATGGGCCCCTCTTGAGGTTTCTGGAGGCTCCTGAGTCGCCTGGACTGTAGACAGCTACCTCTTTGGCTCAGAACGAGGGAGAACTACTGGGGCTTTTGGGCGCCATGGACAGCACCTCCCGAGTTCCAGCACCACAGCCTGCTCCCGCCGAGGTTTGGGTCTGGCCCACAGGCATCTCCGTGCCGGGTCAGGGCCGTGGAGATGCCCCCTTTGGTGCTTCCATGCTTTCAGCTGGTCACTTTTTAAGCAAGATCTCCTTTTTGACCATATCTTTGCAGTTTTCAGGTGTTTGTACACCTTCTATTAGCATTGCTTTTCATATTTCTGAGGCCCAATGGTACTTTTCACAGTATTGAAGATGTTAAATCCAAATTCCAGCCATGTAATTTTTACTGTTTTCCCATCATATTTGACAATATACCAGCCTTCTTGATCTCAGCTGTTCCATAGTGGTACTAGGAGCTGTCACAGCTGCTGTGTCCTGCTACCCAGATAGCTGCATTTCAGCATCCACAGATGCATTTTATGCAGTATACAAAGTATCTTGGTTTCCCTCATGCTTTCTTTACATATTTAAATCTTTTTTTTCCTACTTTTTTTTGGAAAAGAAAAAACCTTAAAAAAGTATGTGCTTGTATTTCAGAAAGAGGCCATAGTCTTGCCTGAAATATGTTTTGATTTAAACAGAAATATCTGAAATGGTTTTCCTATCTATATACAGTATTTTTCCACTAAATTATCAATATAACTGATTATACTCCAGGTGGTCTCTGGTGTAAAAGAATTCAATGTCTTCCATTTTCTGTTATTTTTCTGTTTGTAAACATGGCCAAGTTTTAAAAGATACTTATTCTCTTTACCTAGAGCTATGAATGACATCGGAGATTACATAGGTTCCAACATCGAAATATCCTGGTTACCCAACCTGGATGATTTAATGAAAGGGTATGCACGTAATTTCAGGCCTGGGATTGGAGGTGAGACTTTGAGAGTAATGTCTCTTTTGTTTCTTACAATCCTTCTACCCTCTGATGTTTATGTGAACCTCATCCTCTACATGATTAAAAGGTTGTGGTTGCCTATTACTTGGATACTGGAAATAATAACAATCAACAATTTGTTTGATCTTGAAAAAAGACAGACTGTACAACAGAATTAGCAACAGAGTCTTCTTGCTGATACAGTTCTTAAATCACTGATTTCTCAGTTGAAGGAATTTTGGATTACATTAAGTGGTGATAATTTCTGCATTTGCTTGAAGCCATGCTGTCTGAAACTAGATGATGTAGTTTCCAGAAGGGACTCCATAATTTTCAGTAGTTGTGATTGTTATCTCATGTCCTTTATCACTGAAGCAAGGTATTCTGTTGGAAATTGAGGACTCAATCTGTAAAAGATTTAAATCTCTTGCCCTGAGGTCGATTTTACTTGGAAAGTGTACTTTATCATGGAAAACAGTTTTATGAATTCACTCTGTATGAAAGAATTAACAGTCTTGGGTCATCTGTATTTTTATAGGTACTATGATGATGTAAATCACCCCATTCAAACATTTTTTCTCAGGTCCTCCTGTTAATGTTGCTCTTGCAATTGAAGTAGCCAGCATTGACCACATCTCAGAAGTGAACATGGTACGTTATCAGTTAAACCTACCAAGTTGTGAACGTATGTACTGCAATGACAGAAAGTGCAGAAAACTAAATAAATAGAGAGACAGTTGATCCCCAACACATTTGGAGTGGAGAAATTACCGCAAGAAGATACTACAAAGAACAAACATTGTATTTTAAGACACAGGCAGAGTCTCTTCCAGCAGACATTGGCAATTACAAGAATCTAGCCACGTATAAGTCACTGAGATTTCTTACTACAGTTAGCAAGTTTGGATCTGTGCAGCACTTACTAACAGAAAGCCTAATTTTAAGCATTAACTCCAACTTCTGTTCAAATTCCTTTTCACCACAGATACTTCCGAAAAGAAGCTAAGTGCACGATTGGTTGTGAGATGCTCCTCTTTTTTGTGTAAAGACCTTTCAGTAAAGCAGTGGAGTATAACAACTTACAAGTCGCATAAACTAGCATAGGCATGAATTAACTGCATTTCTGAAACACAATAGATTTAATTTTAAAACCAAAACTTTGACTTTCCCTCCACCCTTTCCCTTCATTACAGATGCATAACGTCACCCGATTTTTTAGTTTTGTTTTAAAAAACCTTCAAAAACAAAAGTTGTACTTGTGGAGATAAACAAACTAATTTTCTTCATTAAGACATATGCAATTCTTGCAACATGTTATATATAACACTGACATTGAATCACTTTTTGATATCTTGGGTTTATCCATGGTATAAGCATATGACAGAAATAAAAATGCTTGGGCAGCTCTATGGTTGACTGAGTATAAAAATACTAATTTGCACAGGAAACAGTTAATACATTTTTAGGCTAATACAACAATTTTTGACCAAGTCCCAAGGCATTATCATTGTGTTTGTTTAGCATCACTTTTTAATTGGGATTTCTCTTGTCATAGGAATATACCATGACGGTATTTTTGCACCAGAGCTGGCGAGATGACCGTCTGTCTTACAACCACACCAATGAAACTTTGGGCTTAGACAGCCGGTTTGTGGACAAGCTCTGGTTGCCAGATACTTTCATAGTAAATGCCAAGTCTGCCTGGTTCCATGATGTGACTGTGGAAAACAAACTTATCAGGCTCCAACCAGATGGAGTCATTTTATACAGCATCAGGTGAGTGAGAAAGAGTGCAAGTGTACTCTATCATGTATTAACTTTTTGAACAGACTATAAAGTAATCACTCAGTTTTCCTAGGATGATTTCCTAAAATAATTATTAATTAAAAGCAGAAGAAAGTACTGGTGACTCCTATCAGACATCCCTTTGCTTTACAAGGATTACACTGCCAGGAAGGTATCTTTGGCAACACTAACACATTTTCCACTGCGTAATCACTGATCACTTTCAGGATGTCCTTAATGGGAGATAAGCATCTCATAACTATTTCGTCACCAGGCAAGGAGATGCTGAATACAGAGCAACGATTCCATTCTCCACTCTTTCACTATTTTCCAGGGGAACTACGAGCCTGATTTAGGCTCAACTTCCCCATCTTTCAAACAGAGAAAGTAGTATTTCCTCACTTTGGAAGAGTGTTCTTGCTAGAACTCAGTAACTATATTTAAAGTTAATTGTGTAATGTTCTAAAAATTAATGAGTGTGCACCTTTGAAATTGTAAGTCCAAAGTCACCCTTAAGGTATTGGTAGTGATCTTGGGGCAGTGGAAGGGAGTAGATTTGACTCAGAAAAGTCCTTTTTATCCTCAGAAGTAGCTGAAGCGTCCTCTGACATTAGACAAGTCATTTGACCTTTCTTCAATTAATTTCCCCCCACCTTTGGGTTTCCCACAGACTTGGTAAAGACAATAGCCATAGGATTTTGAAAATAGTTTCCTGTATTAGTATTAAGGTTTCAAAGTTTTCCATTTAGTCTTAGAGTTCCGAGGAAAAGGCTTTATCTGAATGCAACTAACTGGTGTTCACGTTGCTTGGAACAGGATTACCTCAACAGTGGCCTGTGACATGGACCTTTCCAAGTATCCAATGGATGAGCAAGAATGCATGTTGGATTTGGAGAGCTGTAAGGGCTAAGTACAGTGTTTCATATAATCTGTATTTTGTTTAAAGCCTGCATATATGGTACTTAGCTTGCTGGATTTTGCTGGAATGATTCTGCTTTAGTCAATGATGTAAGGGGTGCCTTAGGATTTAGAAATAAAGGGTACAAACATGAATCCCTTCATTCTCTGTGTTGGGCCTTAGACTATAGACTTTTCAATACCACTTCAGCTCTGATCCAGTTCAAAACTATAGGATTTAATTTAGTGAAGATGAACAACCTACAGTCCTGCTGACAAATGTCTGGAACCTTGTGCTTCATGTAAAACCCAGTGCAATTGTGACAGTCACTGGCATTACTGAGGTTTGCATCAAATCCAGTGAGAATAAGTAGAGAAGCCCACAGGCAAAATTTGATGTGCTATTTTTTCTTTATGAGAAAACAGGAAAAAGAAAGAATTCCCTCTTTTAATGAATGCCATTGTGACTAACTTATAGCTGTTTAGCTTGCCTGGGCATTCCTGTATCTGTTACACAGAAATCAATCAGAATACTGCAAGGATTGGCTTAAATTCATTCGTACTCACAAAGGAGGGTGAAGAATGAATTTATATTTTGTCCAACCTGTATTTTATCTCTGATCAGCATGTAATTCCCACGAGCATTAATACTTTCGAATGAAATTCACCACTGACACAAGCAGGGACCACCAAATCAATGGCAATGAATCCGGCCTTTTGTGGTTTTTCTATCAAGGAGTCTACAGGTCCTGAGGGTTCCAGAGATTTGTGAATAGCAGTGTCTGAGCAGATTCACTGGCCTATTGATGCAAATTTCTCTTTTTCTGTTTTAGCACTGACTTTGTTTTCTAGGCAATTAACCACAATACCATTTTATCCTGTCAAAAATAGCAATCTACAGTTTTACTTATGTAATCACCAAATGCAGAGGCAGCAGACAGTGAACCAGCAATCAGTTCTCTCTCCCAGCAAGTTCTGCAGGGAGTTTTGGTGGTGGTTGAATTTTTTAATTGAATTTGAGGGTTTTGATTTCAGTGAAACAAACATGTAGAAATAAAGCCTCTTTAAACAAATGAATGGTTTAGTAGTAAGTTGTCTATTAACAGCAAACCCAGCAAAGATTGATTTCCTATGGATTTGCATATTACATAAATCCCTCATGCATATCCCCTGCAGGTGCCCTGCAGGTGCCCTGCACCTCTCCCTAGCAGTTATCTTCCAGCTGCCACCCGTGCCAAACTGCAGTCATTAATAGGCTGATACACATGGTGATTGTCAAGCTAGCTGATGCATCTCAGAATGGACATGGGTCTGAGTTGTACTGCTGTTCTCTAACTGGATGCACAAATCTGATTTTCTGTTCTCTACACGCCATTTCTTACAAAACTTTCAAGAATCTAGCATCTTTGAAACCTTTACCTTTTTGTCATTTTGGTTTGAAAATACTGAGAAATTTGAAAAGTTGTTAGGAAGAGAGCTGACAGAAAAACACAGGCAGTTTGCATAGGCATTGTTTTCTGATTAAACTACTTTAAGCCTGGGGGAGGTCCTAAGAGTTGTTTCCACGAGTGGGGATTTGTATGAACAATTCAGCTGTATACTTCACTTTCATGCAGTGTCCATTTGTAAAAGCACTGTAGGGCTTGCAAGGGGAGATATAGAGCCAACTGGACACGCACTTTTTGAGGACACTGGGGGAATCCTTGACAAAGGAAATCTGTTTCCCTGACACTGCCTGACTGGTACAGAGTACCTATCTCATAAAATCAGTGTGTGAACTTGGAGATAGACTTGCAGTACAGAATTGCACTCTGATCTGTCTTCAGTAGGATAGGCATAGATAGATTAGATTTAGTAGTTATTTTCTTTTACAAACAGAAATTGCTTTGACTCTGAGATCCAAGCACAGTGCAGGGGTAAGTAGGCTAGTTTGAGTGCTACAGTAACAGTAACTCTACTTTAAGTGAGTATGCAAATGAGCTTTTTGAGAGATAATTTGAATATTTCTCATGACACTGAAGTGCATTGAATACACTAAATTGGAAAGACATGGATTTGACAGATGGACCGCTCAGTGGATAAGGAATTGGCTGGATGGTCGCACTCAAAGAGTTGCGGTCAACGGCTCAATGTCCAAGTAGAGACCAGTGACGAGTGGCATTCCTCAGGGATTGGTATTGGGACTGGCACTGTTTAACATCTTTGTCAGTGACACGGACAGTGGGATTCAGTGCACCCTCAGCGAGTTTGCCGATGACACCAAGCTGTGTGGTGTGGTCGACACGTTGGAGGGAAGTGGTGCCATCCAGAGGGACCTTGACAGGCTTGAGAGGTAGGCCCGTGCAAACCTCATGAAGTTCAACAAGACCAAGTGCAAGGTCCTGCGCATGGGTC